TCTTGCAACTTTACAATTTTTCATAGATATACACACAGTTATTTCAAACTTATGTTATCCATTCTTATTAGTTCTGTTTTTTCTTCCTAATTATCTTATCTCTGTTCCTATTCAACATCCTGTACATGTGTATGCAAATATCCTGCAGATACGATGATCTAATGGCAGATAATTTTGCTTTATTCCAAAACTACTATAATCCGTAAAATTTTGAGACAAAACGATAAGATTTCTTGCTACCTGACTTTTCGCAGCCTTCCGGTAGAGGTCGATGCACTTTACCAACGACTGATTGTCCTCCGTACCCGTGGATCGGGCGAACAGACAACCACTCAAACTGCTCACACACCCGTAAACATTCCACTTTTTAAAGTCGTAACTTCAAACCAATATTACTTTTCTATTTATCAACTAATCTATTTTCTCCTGAAAAATTGATTTTCATCACACATTGAAGGCAGCTATACCACGCTCTTTCGTTAAGGTTTCAAACCACTTCCATTAAAAATTTTATTCACCTTTGTTTTTTTCCTGTTTTGCATTGTTTGGATACAAAACCCGAGGTAACCTAAGTTTTTTTCCTTGTTTTTGCAGTCAAGCGACAACTGGTTAGCAAAAGTCACAAACAGTCCTCTTGCGCTGGGCGAAACTGGTGTACGGCGAATATTTAGCAGGATGACAAACAAAACTAACTGCGATGACTGCGATACACACACGAATCAGGCGACACACGCATCAAGTAGCGTTCATCGTCGATACCGTACTGTTCTTGTACTTTTCGGCTGTCTAAATTCCGTCCAAACGTTTCTTGAACCGCCTCCACTCATGTGGCGTAGCCTCAATCCCCCATAACAAAAGGGCAAACATAGGAACTACAGTGAATCGAGTGACTACTCGCGATAGCGGCCCCACTAAGAAACTTGAACGATTCGACGTAGCAGCGCAAGCGCTGCGCAACGGCAACGCGTGTTTCGCTGATTGTTGATGCCGTTCGCTTGATTGTTACTGTAGGGTTGCCCACGTCTATTATGGAGATGTTCGTCTCGTTTTCGGACGTTCCCATGACTTTTTGCCGATTTCTCACGCTCGCTGCACATATGAAACGCAAACATTGCTGAGTGGACGGTGAACCGGTACAGAGCCTCCGCCTGATTGTCCCTAGGTGGACCAGCGTGCTACTCATTAAAACTCAATTATTAACTAGCACTTAATCCAAAATCTGATGTAAAAATCCTCAAAAATATCTGTATGTTTTTGAAATAGATAAAAACTTGCGATAGAGTCCCATTTTTCAAGTTAAGCGGTAAGGTGATGCTGAGACGCTCTCTACGAATGTCAGGTAGAGTGAGTATTCAAACAGACTTCTAGCCGTGTTTTCGGTTTCCGGCTGACACCTCTCCCACACCATATTCCTGTTTTTACCCGAGTCTACCCAAATATTTTGGACGATCCGGTATGTGGCCCTTCATGATGTTATGCCTTGCCTCCCGTTCAGCTGACATTCGCCGACTATTTTTAACGTTCATCTAGAGAGTTAGTAGCTAGTAGTTGATCTAAAGGGGAAGGTTCACATGTAAATTTGAGAAATGCTCGATGAAACTTTCTTGACACGCATAACTCCTGGTAAATAGTTGAAAGAGACCCATACACAATGTTTTGCGCTTTCGCCCAACGCATCCTAACCAGTTCTTACCATAACTTTTTGTTATGCAACAATTCCGGCGTTTCAAAACCGGGTGCAGGTTGGAGCAACAACTGAAACAGAATAACAACATTGAAAACGACGGGGAGTCGATCATAGAGTAGAAGAAAGTAGTGCGATACACACTTGAAGGTTTGTGGAAAATATGTAACAAAAACTAGCTTTTTTTTCCCAAAAAGGGTTGACAATATATGTTGAAATTCTAATTGACTTTTCAGGTATTCGCGTGGCAAATTCTTCGTGAATCAGTGACGGATGAAGAGTTGCGCAATGTGCAAATCAGCTTACGTACGTTCCATGGAGAGACGGCGTCTCATCTTCTCACCAGGCAGCTTCCTAAGGTCTCATTTTCGAAGCGTTTGAAAAGTTGAATTTTTTGAAAATCGATGCACGAACACGTTTGTTGGGCAAAATTCTCAAAGAGTGGACATATGTTGGGGCACTACCGTAATGTACTTATCTCATTGTTCGTTAGTTCTTCTTAATGGGGAAGGTCATTCGATCCCGAACAGTTTTTTGGTGAAACCAACCAGCAGAAAAGTGCAAACCTAGGGGTCGCCGTCAACGACCATTATAAAATCATTTTGTGTGTTCATGTATGTGTATGTTTCTCTCACTCTATATGCATGTGTGGACTCAATTTTTGAGTACAAGACCCTGTTTGCTTCCTTTTACTACTCCCACATCTTATTTCATGTACAGGTTTAAGAGGGGGGAGCACAATATTGTCATTTCAGATTCGACTTGTGGTCGAGGCCACGATGAAGTATTTCAAGTGGGACTCACTTCCAGAGGAAAGTCAACTGAGCAAGGCAAAGCTCATACTCAGTCATTTGAAAAACAACGCAAAAGTTCGCAACTGGACGCTGCGTGAGGGCAGACCAAATAGGTGAACCAAACAACCGCATTATAGCACGCTTCTTTTTTTTG